GGCAGGCGCAGCACTTTGTGAACCTTCATGTGCAGATTTCGTGGCAGGCGCAGTACTTTGTGAACCTCCGTGCGCAGATCTCGTGGCAGGCACGGCGCTTTGTGAACCTCCATGTGCACTGTGTGCGGCACTTGCTGTTTCTGTGGAGCTGGAAGCTGAGAACTGGCGACGTTGTAGTACAACTTCAGTACGCCGAGCAATCTGGGGAGCTGGAAGCTGAGAACTGGCGACTTTGTAGTACAACTTTAGTACGCGGAGTATCTGGGGAGCTGGAAGATGAGAACTAGCGACTTTGTAGTACAACTTTAGTACGCGGGGTATCTGGCGAGCTGGAAGCTGAGAACTGGCGACTTTGTAGTACAACTATAGTACGCGGAGCAATCTAAGCTGAGTACTGGCGACTTTCTAGTACAACTTTAGTGCGCGGAGCAATCTGGGGAGCTGGAAGCTGAGAACTGGCGACTTTGTAGTACAACTTTAGTACGCGGAGCAATCTGTGGAGCTGGAAGCTGAGAACTGGCGACTTTCTAGTACAACTTTAGTGCACGGAGCAATCTGGGGAGCTGGAAGCTGAGAACTGGCGACTTTGTAGTGCAACTTTAGCAAGCGCCAAGCAGCATACATCCACCTGCACACTGATACACACTGACGAACAAGCACATACACACAAACACGCACCTCACGTACACACAGAGACCCTCACGCCTTATATCTGTCTCGCCTGTCTCTTCCCCATGCTCACTCTTCCGCACTTTACCCCTGCAGCCTCAATCTTTCGAAGTTGTTCACATGTGGGGTTATCCGGTCCTATAATTGTTTAAGGGCTCATTCCCCCAGCAATTTGGTGTTGGACAAAGAGCACTGTAATGTGAATGTAGGAAAGAACCTTGCTTCTCCAGTTGGGTCAAAGACAGGGAGAGAAGAGAGAGAGAGAGAGAGAAGTTTTAGAGCGCACAAAGCAGTCCATCATGGTTCGTCATTTCCTTGGAAGGATCGAGGAGACCCTTTGCCACACGCTCAAAGGCTCCATTCCATGGATGGCCCCTGAGGCCCATTCCACGATTTTATCGAGATTTGAGGTTTATAATCTCCACTACGAACTGCCGACTCTGGATTTAAAGAGCCAATGTTTTAGGATTGATTGAACAACCTCTTCACATTGGGAATTGTTCTTCATCTCAGAGTCCTACACCTAGTCACTATGAAGTCCTGATAGCCTCAGCAGTGAATGTTGAGTGTCACAACCGTATCGATGTGCCCCGCACGGTCAGGTCGTAAGGAATGATGGCGCCTCGGTCGCAAGAGCTGGTCGCTTCCGATGTGACTCAAGAAGCCAGAGCTTACATCGGTGGGGTTGTATTGCTTGGCCTTGTCCGAACTTACCTGTATAGCAGTCAGGGAACAATTACTATCACTATTTGCATCTATTTTCGCACAAGGCCGGCGGCCTGCAACCTAATTTTCATCATCCACTTTTACCTGTTACTGGCAATAGGATAGACCTAAAGTATTGCATTGACAGAGCTATATAGATATAGACATAGAGGTAATAGCTTGCAGTGGAGTGTCGGCTCGTATGGCTGTGCCATGAACAGAGGCTGTCCCATGAACCGCACGAACTCGATGTCACTGCAGGCTACGGCAGGATGGCGGACATCTGGAGTTTCGGATGTGTGGTGTTGGAAATGCTGACTGCACGCAGCCCCTGGCCGCCACTGGGAAAATGCACTGGAAACGAGATTGGACATGTCGTTTTTTTGATGTTTTTGCGGGTGGTCTCGTTGAAATGTGCCTCGTTGCCGGGGCTGATAAACCGCCTGAGCCTCATGAACACCGTTTTTTTTGCTTGGCCTGTGAGTTAAACATCAATTTGGTTAGTTCGACCGTGAAACCAGGGGTCTCCCTGTTTCTTTACTGGAGGAGCCTGACTGCAGGAATTTTGAGGCCTCTCTTTCTGTGTTCGGAAAGACGTCCGAGGAAGTTCGACAATCCAATGGCAGCGATGCACCTCGAAAAGACAGCTGGCATACAGACACGATCCCCAAGAGGTGGTTCATATGGACAGGACATCTTCGGGTGTGTCCCATTTACTCTGAAACCACTGTGAGTGCATACATTGCAAAGCGTCATTTGATTCAGGGATTGCAGTGGATTTGCAATATTCTTTGTGACCCGTCTTTAGTCGCGTGTGTGTGTGTGTGTGACACTGTTCGCCTGGTCGAAGTTGTCAAGACCGAGCTGGAGGCAATGGTTAAATAATGTTAACTAATGTTATAAATATTAATAAATGTGCTTACGAGTTACGAATGATCAATTTCACCATTGGCAGAATGATTGCTGAGCAGTACCCACCGCAGCTCTACCTTCAGGTACAGGATTGGAATGTCGTCCGAGACACCACCTGTTCCGGACACTTTCTCAGATGATTGTCGCAACTTCATCCAGATATGCCTGCGGCGCGATCCCGAAGAGAGGTTGGCAAGCTCACTGTGCTGTTCCATGCTAGAACTGCCGTTTGGTCCAGCGCTGTGTTTTCACGAGGGAGGCTGTTGAAGCAGATTACAATTGTACCGTTGAGCTTTCTCGTACTGTACTTGGCCGCCAATTCTTTGAATAAAACCATGCAAAACCGCATTCATTTAGGGTTAACATCATTTACGTTGGGCACCGAACACCGTGCGGCCGTTTGGCGACGTCTCCCGTTGGCCGCAGGGCTCCGGCAGTTCAGTTGTTGGCCTACCGTTTTGTGCCCTGGCCGCTGGCACCTGCTAGCAATGCATTAGAGAAGAACAGGTGCTTTTTGGTGTACTTGGATACTGAGGTGCAGCAAGTGGAAGAGTATGATGGTTAGGTTAGCAATGGTATGCAATAGTTGCTATGGGCAGTGGGGTTAGCCTCATGAGCATCCGTGGGCTCTCAGAATCGTTGGCCAAGAATCAGAATTATCAGCCCAGGCTGGTCCTAAACTAAGCTGTGACTTAGACCAAAGCTCAGATTCCCTCAGTGACTCAGTGCCAATCACAGAAACTGGATCGGAGAGAGTGTGGATGCTCTTTGGATCTGGGGGCACATCACGTGAAACACGTGATGAATTCGGCTGCTAAATGCACTGGACAAGTCGGTTGAGGGATGCTCAACGCTCATAGGCTTTTGCACAGCCGCAGAGGTTCTTTTGCAAGAGCGGAGCGTATCGCAGCATACTTACAAGGGGCTCAACCCTCGAGCAAAACCTGCCAGAGAAGGCGTACAATTCCTATGTGTGGCTATTCGGGGAAGTCCTTTTTGCTGGGGGGGAAGAGCCAACCAACCAGTCAGTCGCACTGCTGCGACGGCCAAGTCGTCGTACTGCTCCGACGGAACAGAGAGCGACAGAATGGGCTGCAGCGATCAGCCGTGCGGGTGACGGAACGGGAAGGTCAACTCGACGTTTCTTCGTGGCGGAAATCCAGGGTTTCATCATAAGCCGCATCATAGGCCAAGCTCGAGCCAATTTATAAGCCAATCCCGACCCAATCTGCAAAAGACACCAAGCTCGAGCCATCCAAGCCATCGCGAACCCATTCGGCGAAGCGATTTAGGCTAACGGCACTCGGCGACACCTCGGATCACCTCTGGGTGTGGGGGGGGTCCATGGAGTTCGGACGAAAACAGCCACCTTTTGTGAAACCCAAAGGGAGAAACACGTAACACATAGCTGATGAATATCAATAGAATTAATGCCTACTAAACATCTAATAGCATCATAAACTATAACCAACTACTGTAAGTACATATAGTCTAGTGTAGTTACAGTTATGATATTTGTTATAAAACCCGTATGCGCTGTGGAACCCTGAGTCAAATTTTGTGACCCGCGGCCATATAGGAATCATATTAACAATGACAGTGACAAGAGGATGCTATACAATTCCGCCCACGCGTGGTTCCGAGTCGCAGGACTTGATTTTCCCAAGCCCGGCCACGTTCATCAAGCCCAATGCGAGCTACAGGACGGTATGGCGGGTGTTTTCCACCAGAAAGGTAGTTGGACCGCCAAGCTTCCCGTTGGACGCCAGTCAGGGACCCATGCCTGACTCACCAATCGGTGACGAACTGCAGTGGGTGACACTCCGCGTGTCGGATGGAGACGATGGTTGAGGTTTTCTCACACTCTCGCGCTCCAGGATGAAAGGGTCGACCTCTGCTCCAATCTTAGGCAGGATGCGGTGATCAACGCCTTGACAGTGTACAATTTTATGGATATTTGAATCCGGCATGTGCATCTCACAATGAACAAAGTAAAGTTCAGAATTCAGAAACTGACCCGAGTTTAGAAACTAGGGCCGCTATAGGGTTCAGAAAGTAAAACCACGCAATCAGACACTTCTTGGGTTCAGGAACTAGGGTTCAGCAACTGATGCTGGTGGTGGTGAGTGATTTTGACGTGACATTCATGTCAGCAATTGTTTGAACATGGTATGATGAGCGCGTTGTTAATTTCCAAGCCCAACGTTTTAGTTACCAAACTTAACGCTGACCTCCCCAATAGATCTTTCGATGCATTTCAGCAACACAAAGTCTTTTTCACTCTGAGTCATTGGGCTTGCATGGTTTTGGCTGACTGGCCGGGTTTTCCAACATTTAAAAATATAGAAACATTATAAAACATAAGTCGACAAGTTGACCAGTCGCCCCGCGTGTCGCGTGCTAGCCGCAAGGCCAAAGTGCCGGGAACTGAACATTTCGGCGGGCAGACGCAGACCCTGCGTTTGTGGCGTGTTATTATGCACACCTGAGGATCCAGACACATCCAGACCTGCTGCAAAAGCGTCAGAGACTTAGCAGACCGATTTGACTGGTTTGACTGCGATTGAAAGCCTCAACCAAGATCATTTGGCCATAGAACATCATAGATTCCACCCATGGCTTTCGGCACCGGCTTTTGTGCTTGACCTGCAGCTGATGCACAAAGCGTCCGGCCCAGCGTTTTGAGGCCACAAAGCTTGCTGTCCTTGGTCTCCAGTGAACGACGGGGATCCGTCCTCAAACGGCGTATGTGGCAACCTCAGGTCGCGCCGGCGGGCTCGGGGCCGACCGTTCCGAACTCCGCCTTTGAGCCGGTTGCGCGGTCAGTGCGTCGTTGACACCACGCTCCGTCGCGCCACCGCGAAGTCGGTGCCGCTCCGGCGGGTGAGTGGCGGAGAAGGGTGTTTTGGGGGCCCAGCGGAGCGGAGCATGCCGCCGGAGCTCAGTGGTACTACTGTATGAGGAGCAAAGGGCATCGCTACTAGTAACAATTGCCTTACTAGTAGTAACAAGAAGCTATTAGGAGCAAAGGGCATCGCTACCATCGGAGATTCTTTGCGTTCTGTGTTTCGAAGCTGCCTTTTTCTGAGGTCCTTCACACGTTCATTTGCTGATGCCATGGCAAATATGCAAGCACACCCGGGCATGTAGTTTCCCGCCGTGATGCGTGCCCTGTCATTGTCATGTGGTTTGGCTTTCTTCCTAAATTTTCAAGATCCATTTGAATGCCTCCGTCCCTAGTGAAAGGTGGGCCCACAGGCCACCGCCAAGCGATTGTTGGAGGTGAATGTGCCAAGCGATGGTCGGAGGGATGAAGCTGACGCTGCCTTCGTGTATGACGAATCTTGCCATATGGCCTTCTAAGGGGTCACCTGGCTGGAAGCCCCTACACTACTATCTGGAATCTCCAGACAGGACACTTGTTGAAGGTCCGAATCGTTGCTACTTCGCCTGGCCCGCTACCCTCTTCGCATTTGCACGGCGTTTGACGGCGGGCGCATCGCGGCGCATCACTGTATGAAATCTCTTGCTTGCTCCGTGACTTTGACAACTCCGCCGTTAAATAGTAGATACATCGGCACATGATGGGATTAACCTGCTGATCATGGTCAAGGCATTGGGTCCCACCAATTCCCCTGAGAATGATACCAACTTTATTGGCACTCGTACTGTGAAACATGACAAATCACTGTGGGTACCATAAGTTGATACATTTGTGCAGGGCCCCGCGAGCAGGAGTGGTGATGCAAAAGTTTCAAGAAAGGCTCAAACGGGCCGCACCCTTTTTAAAGCCCTTGTTGGATGCAGGGTCTAAATCTTCGTCCCGCAGCCTCTCCAGTTCCTCGGAGGGAGGAACACTTCCCGACAGGAGCATGGCCTTGCGAATATGACTTATTTCAACCAAGCGTATGACAGTTCCACCAACAAAATTTAAGTTGTTCCACTGATTGTGGATTGTGTGTTTATATGTGTGCGTGTATATTTGCTTGGATATGCATGTAGCAGAACTTGAAAAGATGATGCATGTGGAACTGGCAGGAAATCAGGTTCAATCCTTTTCCTACTGCTCTTAGGAATGTAAGCTGATTTAGCCCTAGTTTCATCCTTGCGTGCGGCAAACACGCAAGTTTTTCCATCAGTTACTGCTAAGACACCATTCCAGATGATGGTTGGATTACTGCACTCGGCCAAGCTGCAAGCTCGCGCTAGGTCGCACAGCAAATCTGATAGGAGATAAGATCAATCAGGTCGTGCAGGTACTCCGTCCATTCCTCTATTTTTTGAGATCGTCTAACCCACTGGGTGGGTCGTTTCAAGCGCGACTGGGTCGTCGAACTGGTGGGCGACAGCGATGGCGACCTGACTTGCCACAGCGAAGAATCGTGAGTATTCTCGAGTTGTTTTGAAAAAACACGCTCCCCAATTACAAACAAAATGCATGTCGCGCACCCATTCATATGGTTTGTACGTTTTTATGTTTATAGAACCCTAAACCACTACTAAACATTGTCGATGTTGTGCGTGTTTGTTGGTTTACGTAATCAGGTTCCAAACACCATCCCCCCACCACGACCTCCCATTGTTTGGTCCGTCTCCGGCAGGCAGGTTGATAATATGATATCTTGTTGCCCCAATCCCACAAAAACATGCCGTGGTTGCAACGTTATATATAAATTATAATATATATATACACAGTATATTGTAAACTGTGTGTATGTTTTTTTTATTTTAGTATGTTTTTTGGCTATACTAAAGGGGCAGCTTGGAGAAAAAAAGCACCGCCTGCCTTTGTGAATTGGATGGTAAAATACCCCACCGAAACGGTTCGGATCATGAGATATATCGAAGGTGCAGCCATATACTCTGCAACACCCTGGGTGGTTCTTAGATGGATACATAGATAGTCAGGGCGGATCTATCAACCACCCAAAATGGGTGCTGCTATGTCTAGTGCTATAGTGCTATGTCTTCGTGGCGTCCGGTCATCCGCCTCCCACCGGACCCATCCAGTGTGACTGGAGTCTCGACGCTCGACGCGGGAAGCTCAGCCCCAAAGGGGCCCACCGGGACCAACGCTTCGAAAGGATTCAAAAGTCACATCGAGCGGACACTCCTGGCTCGAGAGTCGGCTTGGCCGAGAGCTCTGTTAAAACTCCAGGAAGTCTGAAGCTTGCTGGAGTCCGTATTATGTAGTTTTGACTTTAAGCGGCAACTATATATGTTACAAAACATGCCATGAATGTCAACGACTTTAGCCAATGCCATGCTAGGAGGATGAGGCCTGGCTGCGTGAGCAAGATGCAGCAGAGGCGGGACTTTTGAGTTGTCTATCTTGAGTTTTCCTTCTTGCCGGCAAGTTGCACAGGGTTTTGTCACTTATGGCATGCCCAAGATTTAGCACCTGCTTTATGTTGCCCGAAAGTGGCTGAACCCGCCTTTGATGAGCCGAATCCAGGCAGCAGCTTGTGCCGAAAGGCTCGGAGGGCTGTTCTGCATCCGACGCGCCATGTTCTGCTCGTTTCGCTGCACGTAAGTCTTTGCATATATGGTAATGCAAACGGAACGCTGAAGAACCAGAATGCAACCAGGTCAAGGCATGTTTGTCCAATTTTGAAGCACCAGCATGCAGCTATTTATCGTGACGT